TTACAGGTCGTAAAACGACTTTTCCTTCCCCAACAGCTTGCTGTAATTTACGCTTTGCAGCTGTTTCCAACTCAACCATACAAATTCTCAACGTGTTGGCAAACTCGTCATCCGAAGAGATACGTGCTCGTACAATTTCTGCCCAAAATTATCACACGATTAAGGTTAATATCAAAGAATGAGATATCTTAAACAACTACTCACAGCCAACTTCAAACTTATTTAGAAAATAAAGAAGCTTAAAACCTAATATCGGCGTATTAAACTCAACATTTACCGTCATCAGGTGGAGTAACGTAAGACTCCAAATTTTCAATATACTTTCGTACTGTAGTAATAGAGTGTACAGAAAGTCTTGCGCAGAGTTTCAACATACGCTGAAATCAACAGAATTAAAGAGGCAATAAATCTAGAAAAAGTAGTTGAAGGCTTTTACATCAAGTGCTGCCTCAGCTCTCAGAGGACCGGAACCAAGTGGAAGAGATGCAGTAAGCCCAACAATTTGGGGTTTCGGTCCTTCAAAGTCATTCAGCATCCTCATCAGTACTTAAAAAGAAATAGCAAAATACAAGTTGGTTCTAATAAACAACGAAAGATAAAAACACTTATTCAATTGAGTTGCTTGAATCCAAATAAAAAGGGAATCATACTGTAAATCCTTCATTTGCAAAGCAATTTAATGATGAAAGGCATGCTTCAAAAAAATTAGCTTTCCCTACCATTATAGGGGTGGTCCCTATCGCAGTGGTGGCACTCATCAAATACGAACAATGTAAAATCATTAAAGTATAACCGATCAAATTTTCTAACGGTCTTCAGCAAATTCCTACAAAAATTTAGCAATTTGAAATCAGTGAATATAGTGATGCGAATTCAGTAACATCAAGAATAAATTATCAACGCAGTAATTTAAAAAAGATTATTAGTTTCACCAATTAGATATCAATAAATCAAATGCTTCAGAAGAAAATCAGAAAAAACGACAGACACGAATATTTGAGGAGTGAACACGGTAACATCGCTTGCCAATACATGCGGAGCTCGACCGTCTTCACTTTCTTTTTCACTACCACTCATACCTTCCACCCAGTATATTTTACGCATATATTTATTCAGCATCGTAACCTGCTGATCTACTAGCGGTACTGTTGGAACGAGCATTGCGACCTTTAAAAACCCTCTTTATCTGTTAATCATGTAATAGGCATTAGGCTGGAATTATAAGTTACATACCCTTCCAATTCTACTTTCCTCCTTCAACCGTTCTAAGTGGTGACACATTATATGTGCAGCTACAACGGTTTTACCAGATCCAGTCGGGGCACAAATGATGGTATTCGTACCCTTCTCTGCATCAGCAACTAGTTCTTCCTGATATGGCCGTAACTCGATTCTCAAAGGGTCGGGGACCATTTCGAGGACACTTTTTGCTATAAAACATATTTGCTATTTTAAAGATTTAAAAAGCAAGCGCTCATTATTAGTGACTTCAAAATATATTTTTCTTTTTCTTCAGCTGTGTAGTTTAAAAAAGGCCCGTTAAAAACATTTACTAAATTACATAGTCGACGATCTCTATACTCTTGATAGTCCTTCTGGTCTCTGCAATCCCGATTAAAGTCAACAACTTGATCGAGGGTTTCGCAACGAATATCACCTTCAGGTTTTCCACTATCAACGACTTGAGAAACGCGCGTTGTTTTTATATTGTATTCCGCTGGAATTGTGGGAAAGCATGAGTTCAAAAACCATGTAGCAACTTCTACGGAATTACTCACTGAACTAATATGATACTCTTCTTCTTTATAAATGGCGTCATTTCCATAAAAAGCAAAAAACAAAAACTTCTCTATTATCCTATTTACATAAAAAGACAGATGAACATCTAATCTCAGCCAAAAAAGAACGGAAGGAATACTTACCCAAAAAAACTTTATATTTTGGGTCAATAAACTGGGGGATAGTATAGTTATACGGATTTGACAGGCAAGCACTCAAAAAGTCGAAGTACCACCCCGTCGGATCTCCATCTACTCCGCCCACAAAGGGCAGAGAACGCATCAAAAAGCAGCTGGCCTCATCATACCCTCAATTTTACCTTTATAAATACAAAACTTCTAATAAAGAAATAATCATTTGGAAAGAAAAGATAAAGTAATTACTTCCCTATTGTTTAAAAAGGCCAATTAACCGCAACAGAATCAACCGTACGTAAAAAACTTTTTAATTCAGTGCTTTAAGACCAGCCACGATAGTTTAAACGTACAATGATTACTTATGAACAAGAACTTACTCTTCTCCTCAACAAAACTCTGCACAACGTTTATGATATCGGAGTACACAGCTTTATTCAACCCGTCTAAAATGGATGGCACATCCAAGGATTGCGTTAAAGCATCCATTTTTAGCCCTCCTGAGCCGTAAAAGAATTTCTCATAATAGGGGATCGCTGCTTCTGGTATTTTGCGACACATTTTATTTCGAAGTCTGTTGTCCTCTTAAAAATCAATGAATTACAAAAACTCAAAGAAAAACGCACCGAAAAACTTTTGGACTAGATATAAGGTGGATGCTCTGCGTAACCTACAGTTACTGTTGAACCGTAATTAACTGAGTAAATCTTCAAAAACGATAAAGAACCAAAATAGACTACTTGACCACGCAAAATCCAGCAAATACGGCATCAGAATTTCATCCTGTGATATTGTTTCCCAAAGCTGCTCCTTTCTGTGCTCAAAGTCATCTTCTGCCAAAGCGGTGAAAGGCTCAACTTTATTTTCTTCTGCAATGCACACTTATCCAATTACTTACAGTTGCAGGAATCCATGTTACAAGCTGTCCTTTAACTTGTGTTAAAGGTAACTATTAACTAAAAATCTTTTTTCTGGCAAGTTCTGTTAGTGTGTTAAAAGAAGGGGAGATCAGCGATAAAAAATGTTTTGAAATAAATTTTTACCGAGAAGACTTTGAAAGTATCGAAGCTCCTCTTCATTGCCCAAACAGTGTAAAATCTCAGCCTTAAAAAGACGTTGGTAACCAAGAATATCCAGGATGTTGACGGGCTAAAAATACGCAATTATAAAAATTGAAACCCACATATTAATTAATAAAATACCATTTGTTTATATTTCCTACATAAAAAATAAAGTAGTAACTGATGAACAATCCCCGCTGAGTTACAGCACAATTTTTATTATCCAAGTCCTCAGAAACTTTAAAATACAAATTCGTAAAATTCAAAATCACTTGCTTACCTCTGTTTGCGCAAAATTGTTTTTCGCTTGAGGTATCATGACGTTAAGTTTGCCCTGCCGTTTCAACAGCCCTACGGCTGATCTAAAGCAACAGCTTACAAGCCTCTACCGACTTCCAAATAAAAATCAGTGAGGTGCCAAAATAGCAAACACTGCCGGATACTACAGAAAACAAGCCGCTTGTTTCATATCTGTTCAGGCAACCTTTTACAGTCAGTGACGAAAATTGCTTTATGAGCGACTACAGTACAGTAAAAACTGTATACATTCCTTCGGGAAATGTATGCAGTACAAAGCAAATCTTCTTTCATTAGGCGTATAGAGAAACAAATAACATCATATGCAAAAGGCGGAACATCGTTGAGAACATGAGCAACGGAAGAGATAGTTGAACCAGAAAAAGCAATTATCATTACTAAATTATTATGGATAACTCACTAAACACGAACAATGACGTCACAATTACAAAACGTTAAGGGGCCTCTTGCCTTGAAAAACCAAAATTGGAATGAAGCCAATCCAGAGAAGGCAAAACTCGTACGAAGTTCGCAGCTTTTAGACAGACGTCATTAGCGACAAATTAAGTGGCAACAGTAATCCTGTTAAGTCGTTCACTGCAACTTCCAAGATTCTGTAATTCCTTGGTAATCATACTCCACCGGATTTCAACGACCTACTCATTCAGATGCTTACTTTGTGGACTTTGTGTGGCTTACAGACCAGTTTCAGTTTCTTTTTAAGGAAAAAATGCTCTACTGAAAAGTCATGATTCGATGTGTTAAGGGAAATTGTAGGTGATAGTCTCTGCTCCTTTCCAACAAAATTTTTTGCGTTTCCTCAGCGTCCTTTTCAGACTTAATAAATCTATTGTTCTCCGTCGACAACGAATGAAAAGGTGAACGGCAAAACAATAATCACCAATGTTAACTTTAGGAACGATTTTACTTAGCATTTTCACTAAGATGTCTACTCAGTAATTCAGACTTGGGACCCACACTACAAGAATTTCGAAGCACTGAATCAGATAGCTGTAAATTGTATGTTATAATAAATGACAATTACTGGAAATGTGTTGTCTAGAGGAATCAAAATTTAGGACAGTTACTTAGATCTCATAAGTAATAAAAAATAGTTCTAAACAGCTGTTCTCAAAAAAAAAAAAAAAAAAAAAAAAAAAAAAA